AAGTCCCAACGGGTCAAAAAGCCGCGCTATTAGCGACAAGACAGAACGTTTCGTGGCTGGTTCGTGGCCATCATCCAATGCGACATGATAAATCAGTTCGTCTTTGCCAGCAGACCATGATAATCCTAAAGTTTTCGTGGTTTCAGTCTCACCNAGCTTGATGAACTGGTGACTATCACCGGATCTTCCGATTGCTTCTAGTAGCTGTGAGTCGTTGGATACCCACTTTCTCAACTCAAAGCACCCAGTTGCCAAAATACGTGTCACGTCGTCAATGAGCCGAACTGCCTCCGCACGTGATGGCGCTCCAAACAACAAATCGTCTACGTACATAGATTTGCGTACAATGTTTGCCGCCTCGGGGAAGGATTCCTGATACTCCTCAGCCAGGCTGAACAAACACCTGATGGCCAGAAAGGCACTGGAGGCCATTCCGTAAGTAACCGTACGCAATTCGTATGTCTCAACTGNGTCGGACGGATTTTCTCTCCAAAGTATGCGTTGAAAGACGCATTGAGACGGTTCGATGAGCACCTGACGGTACATCATAGCGATATCAGCTCCCACCACGTATGGATGTTGCCTGAAACANAAAAGGATTGATAACAAGTCTTGTTGTATGGTAGGTCCAACCATCTGTATGTCGTTGAGCGATAGGCCCGTTGTCGTAGGTGCTGAAGCGTTGAAAACAACGCGTAACTTTGTTGTGAGACTGTTTTCCTTCATCACACCGTGATGAGGCAGATAATACAATGGAGTTGCAGGACTATCATCGACGACTTTTCTCATATGATCTAGTTCTTCATATTTTCTCATGAAGTCTATGTACTGATGCCGCATGGCCTCATTTCTTTGCAATCTGCTCTCTAATGCCTTTAGCCGTCGTATGGCTAATTCTTTAGAGTCACCCAATTTGCCGGGAGACGATTTGAACGGAATGGACACGATAAACCGACCGTTGTTGTCGCGCTTAGTTGATTCAAGAAAAAGTGTCTCACATGCCTGCTCTTCTGGCGATAGAATGCGGCTATGTGATACTTCTTCAACCTCCCAAAAGCGTTCTAACTGACGAGAAACGTCGCTTATGTTGGTTGACAAATTGCAGGCTAGTAAGGCATTGTTGACACATTCCTGCTGTAGNTTTCCGGAGACGATATAGCCCAGTTTCGTCTTATGCAAATAAGGATGCCCTGTAGGCTCATAGCAAATCAAATCCCAAAAGAGATCAATACCGATTAATAACTGTATTCTCTTCGGCTTGTGGAAGTATGGATCAGCAAGAGGAACGTTATTCGGGACGTTTGTCTTCTCGAGATCCAACGGCTCGCTGGGTAAATACGACGTGATTTTGGGAACTATCATGAACACAAGTTCTGCNTTGTAGTCACTGTGTGTTGACTTGATAGTCGCCTTTGCTGTCTCTTGGATTCTGGTTTCTGTTCGACTTATGCCGGTTACTGTGGTATNTGTTTTGACGGTACGAAGGCCTAACGAGTTGCACAGGCCCAGTGTCATAAAATTGGATTGAGAGCCCGAATCAAGAAGTACGTTGCATCTNTGCACTTGTCCATTTCCTGCAATTATCTTGACAACTGCCGTGGGTAGTACACGTGTGATCTTGCTTGTTGTGACGTGCGCTGATACGATTTCCTGCGTTTCCCTACTTTCCGCTTGGGCTTCTTGCGTTGGTGTTTTATTGTTATTCAATTCTTCATGATTTTCCACTCTTTCCAAATGCAGCAACGTGTTATGAGACTTTCCACATTTGCGACATTTTTGTGACTTGCAATTTACTGCAATGTGACCTAACCTTAAACAGTTTAAACAAGCTTTCTTTCTTTTGACTTGTTCTATTCGTGCACTNANCGGCAAATCGATGAAGGATTTGCACGCAAATAAACCGTGTTCTTCTTCGCACGATGGACACTTTGCCCTGTTTGTTGCGGTATGCGAGAGCGTTGATGAATTGCCCCTTGTTTTGCTTATCGTTTTGGCTGACTGTGTTTCAATGGGCGTCTTAAGATGCTTGCTTATTTTCTCGAGGAGCTGACATCTTTTCTCGAGAAAGTCTAAGAAACCCTCGATGTCTGGTAATTCCTTGCATTCTACAAGTTCTTTNTCCCACTCTCTTTTGGATGACGCATCAAGCTTGTCTGAAATCAAATATATCAACAAGCTACCCCATTGATTCACTGGTTGTTTTAACGCTAGTAGAGCACGCATGTGACCTCGAACAGCNTCCACTAATTTGCGTAACGATTCATAGCTTTCCTTTGTTATCTTCGGCTGCTCAACTAGGCCTGCTATATGTTTGTGAATCATCAGATTANTGTTCTGATACCTCCTGATGAGTAACTCCCATGCCGCTTCATAATTTATTGCTGAGATCTCAAGTCCACCGAGAACTTTCAACGCTTCGCCCGTTAGGGAACTCTGTAGATACTGAAATTTCGCGATTGGATCGATTCTTTGATCTGAGTGAATAACGGAATTAAACATATCGTGAAATGCTGGCCATTTGTCGTATGATCCGTCAAACTGTGGGAGTTTTAGTTGAGGAAGCTTGATTTTGCGATGCAGNGCAGCCGTGATTTGTGATTCAATGTCGGAGGCTACCGCATTGTTCTGATTAGTGATTAGTTCCTCTGGTTTTAGCTCGTTGATAAGCCTTTGCGCTTTTGCCGTTGTCTGATAAAACTTTGCTTCGAAATCTGCTCTCTGTTTGTAGCACTCCTCCAGTGCGTCATCTTCTACCAGTTGCTCAACTTCCGCCTGACATGCATCGTAATCAGAAAGCAAATCTTTGATTCGACATAGCCTCTGTTCCAAGTTTATNACTTCGTGTTCTTCTATTCTATCGCTATTTTCCTTTAATGTTTCTATAAAAAGATGAAACGATGTGAGTTTCGCCTTTATTGCGCCTCGTTGTCGATTGAGGGCTTTCAATTGTTCTTTCTTGTCNGCGTTGTTCATGTCGAACAGCTTACGATGTGATGAGAATGTATGATACTTAGCTGTTTTTTGATAACGATTCCACCGCTCTGCGTTGTGGCCACCTAACCTTGTTTGTCGTCGTCTTGCTGCTTATGTGTCACCGACTATGCGTTTTTGCTTCCTCGCCGTTGTATCCGGCTCGAGTGGACCAATGTTTGGACAATGTTTGTTACAGTGGACTGTATATAATTATGC